CCTACTAAGCAGTTAGCAAGTAGTTCGGAAGTGGTTGGTAAGTAGTTATATACTAACATCACTAATTAGAGCGCTGACTTCAGTATTTGAAAGTCCATGTGATGGAACTACATATGTATATCCACATAGTGCAGTTTTTGGATACTCAGGAAGATCATCAATATACTCTATAAACTGAGTAGTTAAAGGTGATGCCTTTGCCTGAGTCAGAAAGGTTAATGGTGACGGTTCCTAGATATAAATTAATTTCTAAGTACTTGATAACTACTTAGGAAATTACCTGGGTTGAGTATTCCTCTTCCGTAGAACTAAGTTCAATAACTTCATGAAAATCCATGTCTAGAAAGTACTTGGTAGGTACTTATAAAGTACTTGGTAAGTGCTTGAAATAAAGTGTGTAATGAACTTGGAGAAATATAAGAGGAAGTTGAATTTCAATAATAAAAAACAGTAATTTATAGGGTCGTGTGGAACGTTCCTGCTTATATAAAGGGCTTGGCATCACGTGCCGCGGGAACGTTCCACGTGTACACAAAAAAAAGTTCATGTGAACTGTGTTCACTGGGTTGGTTGGTTCTCCTCTTGTTTGTTGCTGACTAAGTTATACATGTAACGTAATCGGTAAGCGAGCGGAACGCGCAAGCGAGTGGAACGCCCAACTCGTGACTTCCGCATTCCACCAAAACATGAGGCTTTTGATCAACGAAATCAACCACCAAAATGGCTATATCGTCAAAAGAACGTAAGGAACAAGAAGGCAGGATCCTCTTAGCCATTGAGGCTTTAAAGAATGATCAAATTCCGTCATTGCGAGAAGCAGCGCGCGTTTTCAACGTTCCGCAAACCACCCTCTGGAACCGCGTTAAAGGAGTCAAATCACGAAGCGATATACGTGTCGTTTCGTGTAAATTGACTCTTGCAGAGGAGGAGACGTTGGAACAGTGGATTCTCTCCTTGGATAAGCGAGGGCTTCCCCCCAGGCCTTCCCATGTTCGTGAAATGGCGTCTATATTGATCCGGAAACGAGGAGCCTCGCCGGAGGCATCGGATGAGGCTTTAGTAGGGCAAAAATGGGTATACAACTTTATTAAACGCCATGACTCTTTAAAGACATGTTTCTCTCGCCGATATGATTATAAAAGGGCCCTCTGCGAAGATCCGAAGCTTATTAAAGAGTGGTTCGACCGTGTTCAAAATGCTATATCAGAGAACGGAATTACAGATGAAGATATCTACAACTTTGATGAAACTGGATTCGCTATGGGCTTGGTGGCTACTGCCAAGGTGGTAACGAGGTCTGACTGCGTGGGCAAGCCGTTTCTTATACAGCCTGGAAATCGCGAGTGGGTGACATCAATTGAGTGTATTAACGCCTCGGGCTGGGCCCTGCCTCCGTATATCATCGTCAAAGGGAAGATGTATATGGAGGCCTGGTATGAAGGCAATGTGCCTCATTCTTGGAGGATCAACACCTCGCCAAACGGTTGGACGAGTAACGAGATCGGATTGCATTGGCTTGAACACCACTTTATTCCTTCAATTAAGGAACGGCGAGTCGGGAAATATAGCCTCCTGATTCTCGACGGACATGACTCTCATTTAACGCCTCGTTTTGATGAAATCTGCAGCCAGAATGGTGTTGTTCCTATCTGCATGCCTCCACATTCCTCACATCTTTGCCAGCCTTTGGATGTTGCCTGCTTCGCGCCGTTAAAGAAGGCATACGGTGGTTTGATTGAACGGCTAATTCGCCAAGGAATCCACCATATTGATAAGGTTGATTTCTTGGATACATTTCCCAAAGCCCGAGAACTTGCCTTTAAGAAATCGTCTATACAGAACGCCTTTTCAGCTTCCGGCTTGGTGCCTTTCCAGCCGGACGAGGTGCTTGGAAAGCTGATGTATAGCCTGCGAGAGATTACTCCTACTGGAAGTCAAACTACCACTTCTTCTATACTAAAAACACCTAAAAATACGAGGCAATTGAAGAAGCATGAAACTACAATCGAGAGATTACTGCGTGAACGTACACGAAGTCCTCCGGAGTCAATGAGAACTGCATTATCATATATCATCAAAGGCTGCGAAATCGCGTTAAACAGGGCAGCCTTACTTGAACAGGAAAATCATGATTTACGGGCTGCAGACGAACACCAGACTAAGAAGAGGAAACGAAGTAATCGCCAATTGGCAGGCCTCGAAGGAGCTACAGTTCATGAAGCTATACAGCTTTTTCGCCGGGCTCGTGAGGAAGATGAAGCCTTGGGAATCCAACGGGCTGATTCTGCGGCCGGCGAGGAACAGCCTCGCCGGCGCGCGCCACCTCGCTGTTCTTCGTGTAATAAAGTTGGTCATATACGGACATGGTGTCCAGCAAGAGTAAAACACCAAGAAGAGGCAATTTGAACGGTGTAAAAAGGTTGATATTTGACTTCAAATTTGTATATAAAGCAGAATTACGAGTTGGGCGTTCCACTCGCTTGCGCGTTCCGCTCGCTTACCGATTACGTTTAAA